TGGGGAATTTAATTCTCCATCGAACAGCATTGGTTTCATTCCTTAATATTAATTAGCAGCAGAGATACGATTTTGTAATTAGCGGGCGAGTTGTCGGGAGCCACTGCGCCGAGAAACCATTGAGTTTTTCATAGCGCGCTTCGAATTTCGTCGCAACATTAATTTTTTTATTGCAGAGATTAAGGGATGAAACGGGGGTTGATGGATGGGGAATTTAATTCTCCATCGAACAGCATTGGTTTCATTCCTTAATATTAATTAGCAGCAGAGATACGATTTTGTAATTAGCGGGCGAGTTGTCGGGAGCCACTGCGCCGAGAAACCATTGAGTTTTTCATAGCGCCGCGACTTTCGTCGCAGTTATAATTTTTTCATTAGAGAGATTAAGGGATGAAACGGGGTTGATGGATGGGAAATTTAATTCTCCATTGAACAATCTGTGTTTCATCCCTTAATAGTAATTAGTCGGCGAATAAATCAACTGAAAAACATAAAGTAAACATTAAGTACAAGAAGGACAGAAATCTTCCTCCGAATCTGTCCCTGTCAAAGCGNAGGGATGAAACGGGGGTTGATGGATGGGAAATTTAATTCTCCATTGAACAATCTGTGTTTCATCCCTTAATAGTAATTAGTCGGCGAATAAATCAACTGAAAAACATAAAGTAAACATTAAGTACAAGAAGGACAGAAATCTTCCTCCGAATCTGTCCCTGTCAAAGCGGGACTGCTACTGCCGAGGTACTCACGCACCCGACTCACATTTACCGACAATTCGACCGGGACGCCGCTTTTCCCGTGGGGTACCAACTAACATTTTTGGAGTCAGTCAAACCCCCCGATCCGGGCCGCTACTCAGGTCTATCCTCTTTGAGCACTAGTATAGATGGGAATTTGGGTAGAGTGGGGATATACGGCTGAGGTTACTTCTTTGGGAAGAAGCACTTTATGAAGAGTAACCATTCGTTCCCACAAAAATGATCTCAAGTCTCATGCAGGCTGTCGCATATGCACCAGCGACGGTTGCAGGGTCCCTAGACGACCGCCATTTTCCCTAACTTTAGGATTTATATTCAAATTTATTATTTTCAATTTCTAAGTTAATTCATCGAGATGTTTTTTAATAATTTTTAAAATAGAGAAATGTTTAGGTTTTCATTGAACAAAGACTCGGGAAAAACCCAAGAACAGGAAAAGAGCAATAAACTGGGGAATGTCCCAACATCCTCAGACCACCCGGAGGTTAATCCCTTTCAAGTACCTCTTTTTTCTTATATGATGAGTTTTTCGAGTGCAATTTGACCCGTCGGAGTCAAAAAACCTTTCTTGAGAGAATTTATTTCTTTCCCAAGAAAACTTCGGAATTTCCCTTGTTTTCCCCAACATATGTGGGTGAGGCCCTTTGTTTGGGTCACGTAGGCCCGAGAGTTTGGGGCTGGGTTAGAACGAACGGTTGTGGGGGTGTGAGACCAACCCCATCGACCAAGTCCAAGGACATGATTGGCTCCCCACTCCTTCGAGTGGGATGACTTTTTCGCGCGTTAGACTTAGAATAATTTTAAGACTAGAATTAACAGCAGATCCACCACCTACGTGGACTAGTGAAGATCTAGAGATCTTCTCCTTTGAGTTTGTGTTCAAAGTTTCTATTTGTTATTGTCAACGAAAGTCAAAGTGCAAATATATTCATTATAATTTTATCTTCTACATAAATCCAGTGTTTGTGTACAATTATTTAAATAAAACCCGCACTTGTGCAGCAGAGTGCTTTAGCACTCCACGGGCAACGGACCCGCCATCTATATTACAAAATAACCAGCTCGGGACGTAACAAGGCACAGTTGGCCACAAAGAGGATTGACTAAAGTAGAGGCTCAGATCTCGGGGTTGGACTGACCCCAAGCGAAAAGTAGTTCGACCCCAACGGAGGAATGCCGCCACGGTCGAATCTGACGGCTGGGCGAACTGCCTGTGCGGGTAACTCGACAGTAGCAGTCCCGCTGTCACAGGGATAGTTTCGGAGGGGAACCTATGTCCTCCTCGTCCTCAGCATGTTCTTAATGTTTTTCAGGTGATTCATTTGCTGGCTAATTAATATTAAGGAATGTTACACAGAGGGTGTGACGGATAATTAAATTCCCCATCAATCGATCCCCGTTGCATCCTTTAATCTCTGTAACAAAAAAATACAAACTACGACAAAGTCATGGGCCGGTGAGAAAAATAATTTTCTTCTCGGCGCACAGTGACTTTTCACCATTCGCTCGCGAATTAAAAATTCACTTCTCCCCTCCTAATTGAGATTAAGGGATGAAAAAAGAATAGTTCCATGGAGAATTAAATTCCCCACCAACTGACCCTCATTCATTCCTTGATCTCTGCGAAAAATGGAAGAAACTGTCATGGAAATAACAGCGCAGTAAGAAAAATAATAGTTTCACGGCGCACAGTG